GTTATCACCAGCCTGACACCCTTGGGGCATCGGAGGGCCAGCCGGTTTGGGGGCCCTGAATGCAGGGCTCTCTGGGGAACGTGTGGGGAAAGGCGGTCCCTCAGGTATGCCGGACCCTGTGACCATAAAGGCCTTTAAAGGTCAAAACTCCAGGGCCCACCTAAAGGTTGACACCCCTGTTAGGCACCAGTTCTGCACCGCTCTGGAATCAAAGTTTGGTTTTTTGGGGAGAGAAGGTGATAAACCGAGTCTTAAATGTATGGGACTCAAGTCCTTTGTTCAGGTGGTCGGCCGTGCTGGTCTGAAACGTCAGAACAAATTTAGAGTCTGGTCTTAAATGTGCCAGGAGCTGCGGTGGCTCAAGTGGTTAAGATGCTGAACGGCAGGCTGTGGAAGGTCGGTAGTTCAGCAGTTCGAGACCCGAGTGCGCCGCATGACGGAGTGAGCTCCCGTCTCTGGTTCCAGCTCCTGCCCACCTAGCCGTTCGAAAGCAAGAAATTGCAAGTAGATAAATAGGTACCACTTCGGTGGGAAGGTAACAGCGTTCCGTGCGCCTTGGTGGTTAGTCATGCCGGCCACATGACCACGGAAATGTCTTCGGACAGCGCTGGCTCTTCGGCTTTGAAACGGAGATGAGCACCGCAACCCTCGAGTCGGATTCGACTGGCTTTCAAGCAAGGGAACCTTTACCTTTACTTTTTAAAATGTGCCACTGGACTCTAAATCCAGTCTTTTGCTGGTTGCGATAATCTGCAAGCAAACAAATGAACAATAAGCAGTAAACATACCAGGGGATCAATCGCCACGGATGATGGGGATTCGAGTACCCACCTGCAGCTCCGTTCTGCAAGGTGGGCGCCGCCCAGGGGGAGAACACGGCTGTCCCAGCCGCATCTTCCCTGCCCCGTCACTCCACAGCTCACTTGGCAGAGGCAGCCCTCACACAAATGCCAACCCCCCCCCCTCCTGCACTGGGGTTTGGGTGGGGGGAACGACATGCTTTTGCCAGGCGAGGGAAGTACAGACCGCCGCCCCCCCCCGGGCCGGGCAACACAATAGGGAGGAGCACAAATCCGCTCTCACCGGAGGGGTGGGTTCAGGACCCGCTAAGGGGGGGGTCAGAGGGAAAA